CTTCTACTACTATGTGGCACGATAAATTTACGTGAAACAAGTCTATAAATTTATAATAGTTTCAGTTCAGTAACAGAGGGTTTGAAAATTATCAAATATGTTAAAATTCGTGAAAATATCTCCTTAGGTAGTTTGTTTTCAGTAACGGTTTTGTTAATTTTGGAGTACAGAATGCATTTTGTAGATAACATGGCAATAACTGTCTAAGCTTGGCTGACAGCACCACAATTTATGACACTACTAACTAGAGTGTTAAAATATACTATTATATAGGGGCATGAAAATTTATGATTACTTTTAAGTACCATCGTCTATTATTTTTCCTTTCAACAAAGCAATAACTAATCTCTTTCTCTCTAAAATAAAATTATCGCAATTACCACACAATGCGGTCTGTTTTCACACAAATTTGCTAATTTTCATCAAATTGCAGTGAAAAAAATGAATATTTAAAAAGTGAAGAATTATTTATGCAGATAACAGGATTCAACATTTTTTTCCTGCTGACTCGAGGATTTAATCGCAAATATATTTTACGTTTGATTGAAACACGGAAATTGTTTTTCGTCAGGTTTCAACAAATTTCCTTAAATATTTTTCCAAAGTCGTGTGTTTGATTTTTATTTTTAGAAATCTTATTTCTTGCGTGTGATTGGCAAAATTTCAACGTCCGTTTCAAATAACAATTTCTCGATAAAATCTAATTTCGACTCGAAATAAAAAGTTTTTGATTTTTTAATTTTGTACCATATTTTGGCATTTATTTAGCTTCTCAGTATAAAATTGGGATTTTAAAGCTAATTTTTTAATTATTTATTTGAATAAAGTTTCCTAAGTTTTGTAACTTTTTTTGCCCTAATTTTTTGTATTTTTTCGGTGAAAAAGGCTCTAAATTTATAAAAACGGGCAAAATTATGCATTTCTAAATTTTTTTGGGAAAAAACACTACAGTGATATAACAAACAAAAATGACACACTTCTAAGCATTATAAGTTTGTGCTTTTTAATAAGAAAAATTAGCCGAATTTTTCAAATTTTTTGTTGAAAAAATTTTAAATTCACAAAAAATAATGCATTTTTGACCTAATTTTGCAATTTCGTACTTTGGTATAGGATACTCTAAATTCGCAAAATTTCTAATTCTCTCAAATTCTGATTTTTTCTAACATAATTTCAATCCACTTTTGCAATATTGTTCCTTTATTATGTCAATTTTTGTAAAATTATATAATTTATAGAACAAATTTTGCAATTTTCTGCATTGTTTTTGCTAGATTTTCTAAATTTTGTAACATTTTCAGTGAAAAATTCTTTAAAATATGTAACTTTTAATAACCAAAACTAATGGTTTCAGTAATTTTTTCTGTAAAAAACGCAATAAATTTATCAAAACAGGCAAAAATAAACATATTTCCAGATTAAATTTTATAATTTTTTTCTCATCTGTTCTGTAATGGAATTTTAAAGCTACTTTTGCAATTTCCCGCCTTGTTTTACAGAGTTGCCCAAATTTTTAGTTTTTCGGTGAAAAATGCATCAAATGTCAAGACATTTTTGTTCTAATTTTGCAATTTTCTATCAATTTTGTTGCATTTATTAAGTTTTTTGGTAATTGCTAAAAAAATGCATTTAATTTACAAAATAGAAGAAAAAACGGGCATTTTAGCACAAAATTCTTTAAAATAAATAACTTTTCAAAGCAAAAATTAACGATTTCAGTAATTTTTTCTGTGAAAAACGCTCCAAATTTATTGAAACTGGCAAAAATAACACATTTTTAGATGTAATCTTGTTATTTGTTAGTGGCATCTTAAAGCTAATTTTGCAATTTCTTGCCATGTTTTGCAAAATTTCCCAAATTTTGAGTTTATCTGTAAAAAGTGGTTTAAAATTCCAATTGTTGCATTTATTAAGTTTTTCGGTAAAAAAAAATGGTCATTTCAGCTAAAAATTCTTTAAAATAAGCAACTTTTAAAAGCAAAGATTAACGATTTCACCAATTTTCTCTGTGAAAAAAGCTACTATAGAAAGAAAAAAAAAAAATTTTAATAAATAATTCTTGAACAGGTGCCATACATCATTATGCAACCAAACTAAAAATAAATATTTTTTTATAAATGTTATGTTATTTTACTAATTTTGATTAAAGTTACTGAACATTTGTTATTTTTACTGCGCAAATTAGAGTTAGATGCTGTGAAATTTGGATTGATTAGTTTGTTAGTAACCTTTTTCTTGCAAAAAATATTTAACAGTTTTTTCTTCGATAAAATTCTAATTGGAAAGTCAGGAAAAAAGCTCGTTGCTGAAACAATGAGCGGTTTTAACCACAAAAATCACTGAATTGAATTTTTTTCCTACAAACTGCAGTAAACACACATTTGGTTAGCTAAAATGCTCGAAGCTCAATGAAATATGTCTGATCCCAATGATAAATCTCCGAAACTCTCCAATTGCCAACTTCATGTGTGAGTTATCTCTTCACCCATCTTCACAACACTGATGGTGGACCATAACCACATTGTTGAAACTCTTTGTTGTCAACCTATTGTGTCGCAAGCTTGTCTTTCGATTTATATTTTGTCCATGTGAGATATTTACGTGCAGATTTTTTTCAGCTTTGCCATATTTCAGGTTTGATTAATGACGAGTTTCAAAATAAATATTTTCATGTGTGGTGAAAAATGAGCCAGTCTGGCAAATTATTTGATGATAAAATTGCTTGGATGTTATTGACCCTTTCAGAGATTCCAATTAAAAAAAAATTCAAATCATAAAATAATAATTATTATATAATCGTCTGTCGTTATCACTGGCATTTTTTTAATCAATTAGAAATAATCAAAAATTGATTTATTTCAGCCTAAAATTAAGATTGAAGCAATTATACTAATAAAATACATTAGTTTTGAATTAATTCTGTATTAAAACCGAGCAAAATTGTTTTGAAAATAGCACAAATTGCTTTATTTTAGAAGAAAACTCTTATTAGAAAAAGTATTTGGTTGAAATACTTTGATTTAGCTTGATTCCCAACTTAAAATTGAG